TTCCACGAAAATATACAAAAGCACAAAAACAACTTCTTCTTTTTTGCGGTGTGTGTGATGTGTGTGTATATGGTGTCCGATGTGTGTGTGTATATGGGTTCAAATGTGCGTGTGTGTGTGTGTGTGTCGTGAGAGAGAGAGGCTTACCTGGGTGAGAAGTCGTCATCGACGGAGAGGTGAGCCAAATTGTTGTAGGAGAGAGCGAGAGAGAGTCTATTGTTGTGTGTGTGTGTGGTTTTTTGGCAAGAGCATTTGTCGTAGGGGAGAGAGAGAGAGGGGGGGGAGGGGGACCAATTTTATTAGAGTTTTGTGTAGTGGATTTTAATTTTTGGGCAGGATTTGTGATTTGAGTGGAATGTATTGTGAGTCACTAGATTAGATTAGATGAATATAGATAAGATCTTAACCATATATCTAAATGTTAATTAAAATCTAAGATGTTATTCTGCTTTTCTAAATTGACAGTGTTAATTTTAATTTGGGAAATTTTAAATTGCCTCTATCTTATTAGTGTAGATATATATATAATTGTTTAAGTCAAATTCTTCAATAGTTTGAATAGGGATGAAGAGGGGTAAAAGGAATGTAGTAGAGTTTTAGTCAATCTCTCCAATGGTTTGAATGAGAATGAGAAGAGATAAAATGAATGTAGTAGAGTCATGTTGGAATTTAAATTAATTAGGATCGTGAGATTAATAATACTGAATTGATTTGAGCTGCGAAAAATTTAAGACAAACTAAATTAGCTACTTTATTATATAGATGTTAGTGTTTCTTGCACGTCGTTAAATGTAATAACTTCTTGAATTAATGTAGATCATTTGGGTCTATCTTGTTATAATCAATCAATTTCAAATTCGAGATGTTTTAATATAAGAGTAAATTGCACTGTTACTTCCTAAAGTTTGTTACTTAATCACATAGACCCTCTCAGATATAAAAAAAATATCACAATCTCTCAAGGTTTAATCCAATGTAACACATTACCCCAATTTCTCAATGTTCGTTTGTCATTCCGTCAAACTTTGGTCATGTCAACATATTTTCTTCATAAAATTTCCAAACTACCCATATCTCACTCAAAAATAAAAAACCCAAAAACTAAATCTCTTTAAAAATACAACAAATTAAATACCATATTCTCTCTTGGCACACATTGCCCATTATCACAAACCACACCACCATCCGCCTCCACCGTTGCACATAATACAACTTATCCGTCTCTACTATTGCACACAACACCACCCATTCGCCTCCACTGCTGCATAGAACCACATCACCATTTACCTCCCGTAGTCTCAAAATCACACAGCAAACCCTAATTGATGTTGTATTAAGTCTGAGACAAAAGGTAATTATGAGAGGGACAAATCGAGGTTTTTTTGTGGTATGGGTGGAGCTGTGGATGAAGAAAGAGATATGGGAGTGGGTAAAAGGTGATGCAACGTGAGGAAAGAGATAGGCAAAAAAGGGGTGGATCCATGGAGGGAGGGGAGAAAAAAGGAGTGGTGGAAGCGATAATTGGTGGGAAAGGGGGAGGGGTTTTACAACTCGAATTCAAAATCACAAAACTTAACTCAATTCGCAGGTGTAAGACTTTTGGGTTATATTTGAATTGTGCATGATTGAACACAAACAAACTATTGAACACAAACAAACCGAACCCAATCTAGAGTTCTGAGTGATTTGTTTCTCATTTTTGTACATTATGCAAAAGTGGGATGACTTTACACGTGCCTCATTTTTTTATTTTTGAGGTGGGTTATTTGTTGTTTCTGATGTTCCAAAATTATAAAATCACTTAATGAACTTTTTGATTTGAAACTTATAATGTATAACAAAATAGTAAGAAAAGAGTTACACAGAACCAGTCTTACATGAAAGAATTATAACAGTCTTACGAAACAGTAACAGTAAATAGTTATACGTAATGAATGTTAAAAATTAATTTCGGATTAAAAAATTCATGCCTAATTAATTAAATAAATTTTCTCTAAAAAATATGGTTTGGTCTAAACCACACCCACACCTGAGCCCGACTCAGGTGACGCGCTTGTGTGGTTGAATCAAAAGTATGTAGGTGCTCGTTGTACTCATAAAATTGTGGTATTTCTTGGGGCCCAATCCAATAAAGCAAACTTGGCCTATGTATGCTTATGTAGAATTTCTTAATCAATCAATGTGGGATTGGTGTCAAATCCTATATTACACAACCTTTATTTTACAATTCAATTCAAGATAGTCACTTTGAAACTTATTTTCTCATTTATTTCTTACTCAATTTGAACAAATGAATATATTACGTTATTCTTCTCACGGAATAAAATATGAACCCACGAAAATTTATTCAAAATAACAAATGGGTAACACTTGAATTTAGGCTCAAAATTAACCAAAATTTTAATTTTTACACTTAAAAAATTATTTTGATCTAACACTATTTTCCTAGAAACAACTCTCTCTCTCTCTCTCTCTCTCTCTCTCTCTCTCTCTCTCGTCATTTCACCATCAAAGGAGTGAATAGAGAAGGAAATATGAATTTAAATGGAAGATGTTGATAAAGAAGATAAAGCTAGGAAGGACAGGAGACATTTGCATTAATTGGGTTTTGTCTAAGTGGTTCACCAGCCCTTATCTCTGCGGATCCCACTAATTAATTAGAGAGAGAATTTACGATTTCTTTTTAGGTCCAAAGAGTATTTCTCTTAACAATAAATCCTAGCATCTAACAACATTTACTGTTAATTAAAAGTTCACCATTGATTAGATTCTCACATTAAGCACTCAAATTTGAAAAAATTTCAGCTACTCTCCTTCTAGTTTATTATATTTTTAAAGATACATCCTTTATTTTGTGAATCTTTACTGGCATCCTCTACCAATGTCAAATTAAAGTCTTTAACTAAAACATAATTTTACTAAATTGCCTATGATATATTTTAGAAAAAAAAAAAATTTCTAAACCCGTTTAGATAGTCATATTTTCAATGAGACCCTCTCTATTTTATGAATTTTTTTACGTATTAGAATTTGAATCGATTAAAATTCGTTTTTTATTGGTTTAAATTTCACATTGAATTTAATTGGCCCGAATTTTGATACCTCAAAAAATATGAATTTTAATCCACTTAAATTTTTAATACATAAAAAATAAAATTTAATCAACTTGAATTGAATTTTAATTAGCACGAATTTTAATAAGTAAAAAATATATAAATTTTAATCGACTCGAATTGAATCGAATTTTAATCGGCGCTAATAGCTCAGGTTGAGCTCAAATCGGCTCAAATTTTAGTAGGTAAAAAAAATTTCAATAGGCTCAAATTTTAATACGTAAAAAATAAAATTTAATTAACTCGAATCGAATTTTAATCAATTCAAATTTTAATATGTAAAAAAATAAATTTTAATCAGCTCGAGTTTTAATATGTAAAAAAATAAATTTTAATCGACTCGAATTTTAATCAAAATTTATGTATAAACATTGTTAGGAGTTTATATAGGGATAATTTGTGTATTTTAGATGAATTTTATTTGTTAGAAATGATTTTTAATGACGAGGGTTACCAATGATGTTTAAATCTAAAATATAAGGGGTGTCAGTGATATTTTGAATATTAGAAAGGTTGTTTCTTGAACATACGATAAATTAGAAGGAATGTAGTTGAAATTTTCTTATATAAATAGCATTGTTCAACTATTAAATTTGAACGCGTACCTCTATTAATCTTCTATTTAATTCGGTCAAAGACAGACCATTTACATCAGAACTAAAGTATACATGAGAGATTATCCATCGTGATTTGATACTAAAGTGTTGACAAAATTCGAATTCAGAACGTCTAAATTTACAGCACTTTCCTGCTATTACTTGAGCAATCCCTTGAAATTTATTTCTCTGACATTCTTCCTCCCGTGAAAAAAAACATCCCATCTCTAATGTAAAACGAGAAAAGTGGAGGTTGTTTCCTTTGAAAAGGAAATTTGGAATTACGACTCATCCTCAAAATTCAAAAAAAAAAAAATGAAAATGAACAAGATAATGTAAAGTTGGCAAGAATGAGTTTACTTCTTTCTTGCTTATGCAATGACCAGACCCTTGCTGGATGGTTAGTGAAAAATAGTCAGGGTATACGATTAACAACCTGTTTGCAAATTGCAATAACCATTAGCCTAACCCATAGTATAAAGACGTAAGGACAGCACACAAGGTAGGCTGAGAGAGACTTTGTAGCCTTGACTGGACAGCCACTTGTCTGAGACAAAGTCATATCAAACTCTCCATGACCTAGCCTCTCATCTCAAAAAAAAAAAAAAAAAAGTTTTCCGTGACTTCTGCAGCTTACACGTTTATCCATGGGAGAAACTGAATAAGAGGTAATATATTTTAATTTGAGTCTCATCAATTATGCAAATATTTTAATTTAAACATGCTTGATTTAAAAATTTTATGTCAATTCGAAATTTGTATTACAACACGTCAATCAATTATTGATTGGTGATAGCTTGCATTATTATAGAATTCACCTAAATTATTGCCCAAATTTTCTCTCTCTCTCACATTAGCAAAGCATTCGCCAAACGTACATTCTCTCTTGCCAAGCCAAACCCCTCAAATAAGGAGAAGAAATAAAAAAAAATGCAGCATTGAAGCTATGCGTGTATCGATTCTTATATAGTACTGTCTGACGAGTTAATAAATTAATTCATGTGGATGTTTATTTGTTGAGATGTTCTTATAATTTAGAAGCAATTATAAATGTTATGATAAAACTTCGTAAGAAAATAATTTAAAAAATCTTTGATAATAGAATTAGGTGTCTACGGGGGAATGATTCCAATACTATCAACATTTAAACAATCCGAGTGACCACCAAAAGGGATAAAACTAAAAGAGACCCCATCCCAATGACACAATTTTACAATTGATTTCATACCTATTAACAGAAGGGAAAAAGAAAATAAAAGAAGAAACCAACAAATGAAATACCAAAAGCATATCAAAAGGCCACATTTCTCCTTGCAACGGCATAGCTTCTGCTCCTTGGGAACATCAATTCTGTATTGAGATTAAAGTTGTCTTCTCCAAAAACACAAGGCTTGTCTTCATCAATCCTACCCATTCCAACACTACAACTTCTAGGCATCCCTCTTGATCCTATCAAGGTTGTCTGAGACTGACTCTTCTGTTCTTGCTGCATATACAAATCCATGTTAACCCTATTGCCCAAACTCTTAACGGAGGCAACCCTAATGAGCTCTCTGAAATCCTCACTATCGTTGGACAGCGAAGAGCTGACACTGAAGCTTCTCGGCAAGGTGTACATATGTCCACCAGGGACTCCCATGACACTGCCATAACTGACTCTTGAACCACAATTTGTTATGCTTTTCACGTAGAAATCCACGACTTTGTTGAAAACCCTAACGGGTAGAGTAATGATCCGCGTGAAATTGTTTTGGTGGTGCACTTTGGTCTTCATGTTTCTGGTTTGTTTTCTGTATAACAAGGTTGGAGAGAGAAGAAAATGGTGAAGAAGAATATAGAAACCTTAATTTGTTATCAGCAGGTAGCGATACAGGATGAAGATGACTGTGGATTGCACGAGTTACCGCTAGAAGTTATCAAAGTTTCAAAGGAGTGGTTTGCTTTATGGGTTTGTGATAGAAAATTTTGACAGACAGAGAGAGGATTGTTTCGGATCTGAGGATTTTGGTGGAGTGGACTAACAACAATTTGATGGGGCATAAGTATGAAGAAAAGGGAGGTGAGTGTGGACTTTCTCGAAGCACGCCAGATAAGAAAGTAAACAATAAGATAAGAATGACATGTATACAACGAGGTAGCCAAAGATTGGAAAGTAAGCGTAAGTTGACTTTCTTTGTGGCCAATCGGATTCGGATCTCGTTTCATTCATCTCACAACCCAAATGCTCAACCCTAATTTGTTGATTAAATCTTTTGGCAAATTATACTTTCTATCCAAAGAGATTCTAAGATTCTCACTTTTTATTCATAAAGATTAAATTTTTTACATTATAACTTCAATATATCAAAAATGTTACAATGTGACCATTCTGTTAATTTTTCGTTAATCTTTCTTTCAATGTCAATGAGTTGGTTTTTGATGAAAAAAATAACACAAGTTAACACTAGAATCGCATTACAACACTTTTAATACATTAAATGTGCAATATGATAAATTTAATCTTTAAAAGTATAAAGTAAAAATCTTAAAAAAAATTAGGCTGCAAAGTGCAGAAAAACCTAAATCTTTTTATTACTTTCCGAGTACCCTAATTCAAAAATAGAATAAGATTTATCGTTAATCTAATAAAAAAAGGTTGCGTCGGTAAATTGGATTAACATATTAGATATAAATAGCATTACTCATCTTTTTCTGTAAGAAGTTTGTTCTTAAAAGTGCCAAAAGTACACCACCGCTTACTAGTAGTTGAGGTATTAGCTAGGGTCTCTACCAATGTTGGACCTATAGCTTTCACCTCCCCGTTTCCAAGAAAACGACTTGCAACTCCAGAATGAAAGAAAGGAAAATGTATGGGAGGAAATTTGAATCCTTTTGTTGGTACATTCCCTGTGTTTGACAGATCTTGACAACTTAATCAAATTGATTACAATTTAAATTGGCATTTATGACCTAGTGGGTGCCTACATAAAGAGGGTAAACCACAATATTTCCGTGATTATGATACAGAAAAGAAAACAAAGACAGTAGAATATAAAGGCATAAACCGTCGAAACCGGTTTGAAATTTCTTGCACAACTGCAGTCGACTAGCATAAGGGTTGGCAAGGTCAAGTTTATGGTTAGGTGTGAAAATGGACTTTTGTTTCGTAAGAATTCGGCATAGGTTTTTGTCAAGGTTGGTGACAATGGACAAGTGAACAAATCAGCAATAAACAAAAATATTATTAAAAAGATAAGACACATAACTTGATCTAGTGCACGAGATTTTATCATTTTTTAGAGTTTGAGGATTAATAAACGTATGTAATTACTAATCGTTTGAAAGAAATTATTTCCGTAACTCATGTCGTGACATACATATCACAATAAATTAAGAATATTACCGACCCTCAATAAAATAAATGACTCGCAATTAACGTAAAAATGATTCACACTTCGAAAATGGATGCATGATAATGATGATGATAATTGATTAAGACAATTAAAATAAAGCACTAAACAATGGTAAGAAAACAGCGGGTGCTTGGTCATGAATTCAAATTGAGTAGGTGCCCATAGTATGGCTGGAATCCAGAATAAATATTTGAATATTATTTAGGACAAATTACATTTTGATCTCTCCAACTATGACCCTTTTTCACTTTATCCCCTTCAATTATCATATTTTTTTTACATTGCATACTAAACTATTTGATTAATTTCACATTACCCAGAGTATTAATGTCTGTTACTTTTTTAACAAAAAATTATCTCATTTTGCCCTTTGAAGTATTTAATTTTTTTCATTTTGTTCCAACATGTCACTAATTTTTGTCCAAAAAGATAATGGATGTCTGTGATTGGGACCATGAGAAATAATTAAAGTAGTTGGGGGAACAGTGTAAAAAAGTTAATAGTTTAAAGGACAAAGTGACAAAAAAAGTCATAGTTGATGGGGTCAAAGTGTAATTTAAACTATTTTTTTAATGAGGTAGGAATGTCGTTGTAGTTTAAGAAAATGAAACACAATGTCCAATTAATTGCCTCCAATGCAGAAATTTGAAGGTCAAGAAATTACGACAGCTTAACACCATTACAAAATGAATTTTATTAATTTGTCCAAAAAAATTGTGACAATTTTACAAATAAAATAACAGCAGCCGCCCTACGTGACACAGATCAGAACCATTGAAATAGCGAGTCTCAATAAATGTTGGGATTCACAGCTAAATGAATGACAATGATTGATCAAATTAATTTTTCAAGTTCATGTAGCATTACTTTTTTGAAAGAGGATCGTTAACAATACCCTCCATTTTTTGAATTCTCAAAAATTGTATCATTTATTGGGTATTGTTAAAGAATTTATCTTTCATAAATATCATAATCTCAATGTGAATGACTTGTCTTTGACAAGACTGGAGAAAAGATTAATCGAGGTACGCATATGTTGGTTCAGACACATCTGACCGTTAAATTAAACAAAAAATAAGGGATTCACTTTAAAATAATAAATCTCACTTTTTTTTGGATAAATAATCCAACTTAGATTCTTGATACGTAATTATATATTAAAGAAATTAAGCAAATTTAGTGCTAGAAAGAATTTGAATAATATGAGAAAGATTCACAATCATCACCAAGCTTAACATCACAAAAAATGTTTCAGTAAAACTTGACATTTTCTTGTTTATATCTGTCCAATTTATTCAAATATTATTGTAGAACCCGAAAGTTTAATGATAAGTGCAAACAATTCTTAAAATACTTCGAATTTAAAAGGTTACTAGTGTATTTTAATATCTCTACTAGCTGCGGTTCTGTGTAATTCCGTAGAATTTGTTTTCGCCGCCATCACCTTGTTTAAGCCTTTTTTAACCTTAATGTAACTGGAAAATTACTGATTAATGAATTAAAATAATATTTATTAAATATGAAAAATTGAAGATATGTGAGTAAAAATTTAAGTTTGAAATAATTTCAAAAGATAGTAGGAGTAATTACATAAGATAGAGAGAGTAGTTAAATTAGTCAAATGACATAATTTGATCGGAAGGGATTAATTAAATACTTCAAAAATCGATAAATTAAGTATTTGGGGAAGGAAAGACTTCTCAAATACTCTCATCAAAAAAAAATTTAAAAAAATCATATATATGGATAGATTTGTTATTTATACTTAAAGTCTAAAAAATAAGCATATAATGAAAAAAAATAAATTATCTAAACATATAATATCTGGGGCGAGATCGGTGGCCCGACGACAAAAACCTTGGGTCCAGACCTTCTTCTCTGGTTATTTTTCTGTCCAGCCCAGCCCAGCCCTAAGCCTCACTTATACTAGGCCCGCTGGGCCAACCCTGTGCTGAGCAACAGTTAATAAAAAAATTTCACTACCAGAAGTCGATGACAAAACTTAATTTTTATATGGGAGAATTAATTTTCCACATTGCATCCTTTAAAGTGTCCCCATTCACGATGACGGGATGAGTAACATAAACTAATGGAATAGTCATGTTACAATACGTTTAATATATTTTAGGGTGCAATTTAAAAAAATTAATCTTTGAAAATGCAAAATAAAAAATCTTAAATTTTTTGAGGTATAGAGTATAATTTGCTCTTTTCATAGTCATTGATGTTCAATTCATATTCAGTTAAATTCAGTATTAATTCCAGCTAAAGGTCGGGCTTCATGCATCATCTTTGAATCACATAGCTTTTTTTTTTATTTAAAAGCAATGCAATTTGGAACGAATTTATTAATTTAATTTGTTGATCTAATTTACTATTACCCTAATACTGGTTCGGGACGGAGTGAGACTCGTAAATACTTTTATGCCCTAGAGAAGTTGACATGTAGGCTAAAAAAATAAAAATACCATAAAATTTAATGAAAGTTAAATATATATATACAACTGGGAATCATATGGATTGGTTTGTGTGGTTGGAACAACCTATAATGAATAATTTCATGAACCACCAAAAGCATCTTTTAGTTAAATGGTCATCTTGTGACTGACCTATAGTCCTCAACTGCAAAGTATAAAGTTGTAAGCCATTGTTTATATTTAATTCCACATGATGGTGCTGATTAATGTGGGTGAACAGAGTGTGTGGGATCAAAAGTGAATTTAGATTGCCACTCTCATAATGACAATGAAGTTTTTCTTAGGGGATAAGGGAGTTTGCACTATAGGAATATAGTGATTCATCGACTCTGAAGTTCGGCTAATCTACTCTCTAATGGAGACTCTTGCTCCTCTTCTTTCTATTGACTACTTGGATGTATTACAATACAACGCATGATCTAATTAGGGTTCTTCTAGGGTCCTCTTTCTCGATGAGGCGTTACATAGTACTTATAAAGCTACTCCTTATTCTGTGGGATTTCAGCTGAGATCTTTGCCCATTATTCATGGGATCCTCCTTGATTTAAGGAGTGAATCTTGATTGGTTGAGAGTTTCATGCATTGGACCCAATTTTCGCAGTCATCCAGTTGTTTCCTAGTCGGTTCTGCTACGATCTCCCCAAGGGGAGCTCTACCCTTGGTTCTCTGAGTTCCTCGTGTCTTTACTGACTTCCTGATCTGAGCTCACAGCTAGAGCTTGTTTGAGGTATCATCAGTTGCCCCCAGCCCCTGGTTCAAGCGGGCTTGGGCAGGGGTTGAGCTATTTTTTTTTTTAAATCGAGCAGGATCTGCACATGGCTGACCTTGGCTTGCACGTGAGTTAGGCCTTTTTGACGATTTTTAGCAATCATAGTTACCTCGTTTTTTGTGCACATTCCAATCCA